TAGCCCCCAAGCGCAGCCCTCAAGTTCGGGTGTTGCTAGAAGTGCCCCTGCCCCAGGGTGTCCCCAGCTTTTTCGCTCCGCTTTGGAGTCCCTGGGGCCCTCTGGGCCTCGTGAGTGCGCCCTGGAGGCCATCTGGGCCACCCCGAGGATCCTGGGGGTACCTTGGGCCAGGGGCACTTGCAGCAACACCCGACAAGTGCAGCCCAGAAGTGTAGCCACCAGGTGTGGCCAGCTGCCCCGGGCCCTCCGTCCAGCCACGCACGCGCAAGGGGAGAGAGCACAGTCAACCCGTACAATCAGGACGCACGATGTGGATGCCAGGGGCTCGGAAGGCCACGTCGGCACTTTGCGGGCGAAGCGCAGCCAGCGAAAGCGGCCAACGATGGGCCGAAATCGCTCATCCTTGCTATGCGGGTTGACTGTACCAAAAAAGGGGTACCATTTCTCTTCCTCCTTCTCCTCCTCGCTCCTCCTCGCCCCCTGCCTCCTCGCCCCTGCAATCACCCTCATCCTCTTCCTCCTCACCCCCGTCCCTCTCCTCGCTCCACCTGGGCCCCTCCCCCGCCGCTGCCCCCGCGCCGCCCGTCGCTTGTCCAAAACCGGAAGCGGCCGCTGTCCGGCAGGCGGCCTCCTGCCTCCAATGGACAGCGACCGCGGCGACACCGACTGCGGGCCCTGCTCAAAATGCTTGGGACATGCTGCTGGCCGTCGTGCTCCATCTTTCCGCACCCATTCCCAAAATCCCCGACGTCATAATCGTTGCACGGCGTGGACTCCCAGCGGTCTGGACCCATTCCCCAGGACCAGGTCTTCATCTCGAGTCGTTCTCTGACGGTCCCGAGGGCCGGGAAGGGCTCCTGGAGACCGAAACTGGCGAAACGCCTTCCGCCGTGACTTTTGCTCATGACTCGACGGGGTGCCTGGGGATCGATCGGCTCGAGGGGTGGGCGGTCCTCGCTCATGCCGCCCGGGAGGGCCGCGTAGGTGTCGGAGCCACGCAGGGGGTGGTACTCGCCGCCGAGCTGGGGCACCCGGAGGAGTGCGGCGCTGAGCACTCTCTCCGCCTCGGCGCGCTCCTGCGCGGACGCCGCGGCGGGGAAGCGCAGGCTCCGGAGGTTCCGGCCCAGACTCACCTGCGAGGCGGAACGGGACGACCCCGACCCCTCGCGTTGCGACCCCAATCGCGACGGGAGGTTTATCACAAGTTTCGGGCCGCGGGGGCCCCGGCGAGGCCTCGGGACCGTCAGAGCACGACTCGGAATGAAGAACTAGTCCTGGGGAATGGGTCGAGACCGCTGGGGATCCACGTCATGAAAAATGCATGGCGTCAAGGGTCTGGGGAGTCGGGAAACAGAGTAGGGGAACAAACTGGCCGCAACCTTCCGAAACCATCCGAAGACCCTCCAAGAGTCTCCGGATGGCTTGGGCAAGGCGTTCGGAAGGCTCTGGTCGTTTTGGGGGTAACACCCGTCCCGAGCGACCCCCCTGGACCTTCTGACTCTCTTTATAGGGGGACTGACAATGTGAAGTCGGGCATATCCCTCTGAGGGAGGTAGATTCAAGTATAATACCAAAAAAAACTAGTCTGGGGCAATTGAATAGACCTCCCGGCGCGCCCGCCCTGCATACCGCGGCCGCCAGATCCCCGGGCTCCCGATACTCCCTGGTGGTCCCGCCCTGGTGGTCCCGCCCCCCCCCCCCTCGCCCTGCATACCGCGGCCGCCAGATCCCCATGCTCCCGATAATCCTTGGTGGTCCCACCCCCCACGCCGACTCGCCCACTCTGCATACTGCGGCCGCCAGATCCCCAGGTCCCCCACAGAACAGAGCAGAACACCACACCACCGAACATAACATTTCCGAGCATAACATACCATATCATGACATACCATAGCGTAACATAATACAAGATGACAGAACAGCAAATGCCATAACAACGCATCACACCACATATCATTCCATAACATGACAAATCAAGCATGCCATAACATATCAACGCAGAAGTGAACAGACTAAACCAGAACATGTCAAACACTCGAATAACATGACGAAGTCTGTCATAGCACAAGACAGCAGAACTACGCATGCTATGACATATCGGAGCAGGCATATCATACCATAATATAGCACAACATAACATGGCATAACACTGGCCGAGAACACCGCGCCCCCGTTCCAATGAGCGCGCGCACCTTCGGGATCAACCACCGAAGGTTTCGGTGGGGATCGCTCGAAGCAACATGACTTCTGAGTATGTTTGATGATTGTTAGATAGATGTCTGTGTCCTCCAAAATCCGCCTGTAGACGGACATGCCCGACCGAAAGACAATGACATAAACATAACACACCATGACAGAGCAGCGCATACCATAACAAAGCACCACGCCACATTCCATTCCATAAGATGACAAATCAAGCATGCCAGAACATATCGTCACAGAACTGAAGAACTGAACATACCAAAACAGAACATGTCTAACATTCGCATACGCTGACAAAGCCTGTTATAACACAACACATCAGACCAACGCATGCTATGGCATGCGCTTGTAGACCCCCCGGCGTGCGCTTGTAGACCCCGCCCTCCCCGGCGTGCGCTTGTAGACCCCCCCAGACCGGCCATGAAAGAGCGGCCTTTTTCCACGAACCCTTTCGGATCCTTCCAGGACAGCTCACATCAAACCCCCTCCAATCAGACCACCGCCCTATCCCAAACCCCCGACGTCATGAGTTTTTCATGACGTCGACACCCCGAGGTCTCGACCCAAGCCCTAGGACCGGTTTTTCATCCTGCGTCGTTTTTGACGGTCTCGAGGCGCGGGGGGGAGGCCTCCGAGGCCGAAAATGGCGAAAAACCTACCGTCGTGATTTTTGTTCCTGACTCGAGGGGGTCTGGGATCATTGTGGAATCTGGGCTGCACGACGAGGGATCGGCGACAGGCTCCCGAGAGCGACGCCGCCCGCTCCTGGGCGGGGCGGGGGGAGTGCCAGGCCAGACCTGGGCCTGGGCTGGCGATGCATGGGCGATTGGGTGCGTATGCTCCCCTCCCCCCTGAGCCTATCCCCCCCTAGCGTTGTTCCCTAACTCCTCGTCTTCTTCCTCTTCCTCCTCCTCCTCCTCCTCCTCCCTCCTCCTCTCCTCCTCCTCCTCCTCCTCCTCCGCCTCCTCCTCCTCCTCTCCCCCTCCTCCTCCTCCTCCTCCTCCTCCTCCTCCTTCCTCCTTCCTCCTCCTCCTCTCCATCCTCCTCCTCCTGGTCCCTCCTTCTCCCCTCCTCCTCCTCCTCCTCCTCTTCCTCCTCCTCCTCCTCCTCATATCATTCCTCTTCGTAATACTGTTACCATCATTCTTCATCGTCATGATGATCAACAACATCATCGTCATCATCACCATCATCCTCACCATCACCATCGTCATCATCAGCATGAGCATCATCCGCATCAGCATCAGCATCAGCGTCAGCATCATCAGCATCATCATGACCATCATCCTCACCATCACCATTACCATCACCATCATCACCATCATGATTATCATCATCATAATCCTCATCATTAGCATCATCATCATCATCATCATCAGCATCATCATCATCATCAGCAGCAGCAGCAGCAACAGCAACAGCATCATCATCAGCAGCATCAGCATCAGCATCATCATCAGCAGCATCAGCATCAGCATCATCGTCATCGCCATCGTCATCCTCATCATCATCAGCATCATCACCACCATCATCATCATCATCCCCCTTCTCCCTCCTCATCCTCCTCCCCAACCTACTCCTCATCATCCTTCCTGCTTTCTGCTCCTCCTCCACCTCCGCCGAATCCTCCTTCTCCTACTCCTCCTCCCAACGCTCATCCTCCTTTCTCCTCCTCCTCCTCCTCCTCCTCCTCCCCCTCCTCCTCCTCCTCCTCCGCCTCCTCCTCCTCCTCCTCCTCCTCCTCCTCCCCCTTCTCCTCCTCCCTCCCCTCCTCCTCCTCCTCCTCCTCATCCTGGCTCCTCCTCGCTCCTCTTCCTCCCCCGACCCTTTCCTCTCCCTCCTCCTCCTCTTCCTCCTCCTCCTCCCTCTTCCCCCGTAAGCCGATCCCCCACCTAGTGTTGGCCCTGGCTCCTCCTCCTCCTCCTCCTCCTCCTCTTCCTCCTCACTCCTCTGTTGTGTTCGCTTATACGTAACTCCTCCCTGTCGCACCCCGAGGCATGTCGGTAGGGAGGGCCGGGCATTTCGCTTGAGACTCTCTCACCATTTATGATCCTTGAAGCCTGAGATTTGATACGGTTTCACGGATAGAGGGCGGGTCGTCTTCAAATGTGGTTCTCGCCCCAGCGCCGCGCACATTCGCCTTGAAAGTTTGCAGCAGCTTAACGGATGCAGAGGGAGGATCGTTTCCAAAATGTGCCTTGCCGCAGCGCCGCGCACATTCGTTTTGAAGCATTGCAAGAGCTTCACGGATGGAGGGCGCGCCGTTTTCAAAATATGGCTCTCGCCTTCTCGCCGCCCGCGTTCGTCTGAACACTTTGCAACATTTTCACGGGTGGAGGGCGTGCCGGTTTCAAACTGTGTCTCTCTACCTGGCGCCGCGCACATTCGTCTTGAAAAATGCAAGAGCTTCACGGATCGAGGGCGGGTCGCGTTCAAAATGTGGCTCTCACCTTAACTCCGCAAGAATTTAACGCACCGCCGTCCATCCGTGAAATCCCTGCAAACGTTGAAGGCGAATGTGCGCGAAGCTCAGGCGAGAGCCACATTTTGAACGCGACCCGCTTCCCCTGTGCCGTCGCACGCCGTCGATTGCTGCCCTCCCTGGTTCGCGCCCTCGCCTCCGCACTCGCCCTCGCACCCTCGCCACCGTCGCCGTCCCTTGTCGCTCGCTTGTCTTTCGCAGCCCGCAGCCGCGCGGCGCGCCGCCCCGCGCGGGGGCGCCCGCGGGGCGATGGCAGAGGAGAGGCAGAGGCGTGAGGCGGCTGCCGATCTCACCAGGGATGAGGTCGCCCGCAACATCGGGCGGACTGCAGCGTGGCTGGCGCACACGCGAGCCGCGGCGGCGAAGCGGGAGCCAGAGTCGACGCCCACGGCGGGAAGTCGAAGTCGGAGCCCCAGAGGCTCGCGACCTGAAGTCGGACCTGGAGTCCGAGTGCTCTGAACCGTTCGCGGAGGCGCTGGCAAGGTATCTGGCGGCAAGATGGACGTCCGATGGTACGATATCGTGGATGCCAAAGGAGGAACCTCAGGAGTTGAGGAAGGCGGCGCGCGCCTATAGCAACTGGGTCGCAACCATTCTCATCATCATCATCATCATCAACATCATCATCATCATCATCATCATCATCATCATCATCATCATCATCAACACCATCATCATCATCATCATCATCATGATCATGATCATGATCATCATCATCATCAATATCATCAGCATCGTGATCATCATCATCATCACCATCACCATCATCATCATCATCATCATCATCATCATCATCATCATCATCATCATCATCATCATCATCATCATCATCATCATCATCATGAACATCAACATCAACATCATCATCACAATCATCCGCTATCGTCATCTCGCTCTCGACCTGACCCTCTCTCAAGCTGTATCTCTCAATCTCTCTCTCTCTCTCTGCGGTTCTTGCGCCACCGCGCACCCCGTCGCCGCCCGCCCCCCAGGTCAGACGCGGAGGAAAAGGCCGACAGTCCAAGGAGGCCGAGGAGAAAGCAAGAGAGCCAGGGACGCCGAGGAGAACGCCGAAAGGCCGAGGAAGCAGAGGAAAAGGCCGAGAAACACCGGGGAGGGGGAGGAGGCCAGGGAGGCCGAAGCGGAAGTCAAGAGGCCATGGGGACTCGGGAGCCACGAGGCCATCGGGCCATCAGCAGGCCACCACCAGGGAAGCCAGCAGGGCGAGATGCCGATCAGCAGGTCTCTTCTCGGAGGCAGTGCGCGAGCGCCTACGAGAACAAGCACGGCGCCGAAAGGAGCCCGAGGGTGGCGGTCGGGGGCAGTGGTGGCAGCGGCCGACGGATCGCGGCGTCCGAGGACGCCTGTCGGGAAGAAGAGGGCAGGAGAAAGCAGTGGCCCGACCAGCGGAGCTCACAGCAAGAAGGAATAGGAACCGTTCGACTTCTCTTAGTTGGCACCCACAGGTCCGAACATCACTGGAATAATGAATGTAGCGCTATTGTGCGCGAGGGAGGATGACGGTTTCAGCAAATCCTACTGGCCCTTTACAATCGGTGTCTGGCTCCGGAAGTGGTACACCCCCGTCGGAAATGATGAAGAAACGGAAGCGGCAGGAGAGTCCACAAGGCGAGCCGCGCAGTGCAACTCAGAAGGCCAAAATGCAGGAGGAGGTGCCCTACCGTACGATGCCGACGGAGACAGCCGTGTCCAAGGCGATGCCCGCAAGCAGAAACTGGTGGGACATGAGCTCGCGGGACAACCGGAAGGCTGGTGAAAGCTCGTGGGAAACGTCCGACTGGCATGCTGGTGGCTGGTGATGCGTCGACCGGCAGAGGCGGCAGGTAAGGAACCGAACTGTATGCACCGCTGCTCTTTTCGGCCCTGCGCTGAAATGGCCGTAAGAAAGCGGATCCTGGTGTATACGGGGCCCTGGTGTATACGTGTTTCGTCTCTTCCACGGGAGAAAAAAGAAAAACAGGTATGCACCTCACCACCGCGACGTCGTCCGCGACCCTCCAAAAGACTGGGGATTGAAAAACAGCCCGCCACTGGTAATGTACACGTCGTTCACTTCTAATCGTGGTCATTTCTGATTGTGCTCGTTTCTACTTGTTCCTGGCCCCCTTGTGGCCAGGAGGAGGCCCAGGATAGAACAGTTAGAAGTGAAAGGATCTTGGCCCCCAAAAAACCCAAAGAACTTCCGAAGAATTAGCAATGAACCATATGCAGGTGTTCCCGGTTCCGAGCGGTAGGACTGCGGGCCCGTTCGGCCCAACGGCGCGATGGGGCCCCCCGCGAGCCCCCCCGCGGCGGGCGCACGCGCAGCTTTGCGCGCGCCGCGTCGGCGAATGCGCATTCGCCTCTGCTGCTCTTTCTCGCTCTCTCCCCCTCTCTCTCCCTCGCTCTCTCTCTCTCTCTCTCGCTGTCTCGTTTTTTTGTTGTTTCTCTCTCTCTCTCTCTCTATATATATATACACATCTACATATACATGCGTGTATCCTCCTCCGCCCTCCCGGCCCCTTGTCCTGTCCACTTACCCGTCCCTTCCCTCTCTCTGTCCTCTCCCCATTGCTGTTGCCCTCCTTATGTTGCTTTATCTTTCTCTCTCTCTCTCTCTATCGCTCTCTTTCTCTCTTTCTCTCGCTCTCTCGCTCTCGCTCTCGCTATCTCTCTCTCTCTCTCTCCTTCTCGCTTTCTCTCTCTCTCTCTCTCTATCCCTCCCTCCCTTTCTCTCTCCCTCTCTCCCTCTCCCGCTCGTCTCGCGTCCAACTCGGTCACTTCTCCAATTCAGCCTCCACAGTCGATCCCGTGGTTTGCTCCCACGCGCTACAGTCCATGCAGTTGTGTTGTCGCATCGCACCGCGCGCACTTCGCGTTCGATCGACATCGCGGGAGAGGGTGGCCACGGGGGCACAGCAGCGATCTGCGCCTCTCCCTCGCGCCCCCTCGCCCCCGCGCGCCCCCCCGCGCCCTCCTCGCCGCTCCACCCTCTCGCCGCCCAGCCCCGCCCCCTCGGCAGTTCGTTCGCCTGCCTCGCAGGGGCGGGGGGAGGAAACGACAGGGGGGGGGAGGCGCTCGAACGATTCTGGCATACAAAAAAAAAACCCTCCCTCCGAAAACGCCCCCTTCTCGCGCTGTCTCGATCGACGCGCGCGCGTGCGTCCGACGTTTGATGCGCGTTGAATCGTGGCCGCTGGCGAGGAGGTGCTCGGCTATGCTGGGGATCACAGGGCCGAGGTGTGGAGCAGTTCCATCTGCACGACTTGGAAGACAACGCCCTCGAGCGCGTATACGCACATGTGTATAGGTCAGAAGAGGTGTATGCATATGTATATGGGTATGTATACGTATGTGTATATTTGTATGCGCACGTATATGTATGTAGTGCCTGCGTGTACCATGCTTATGTATCCGTGTCTATGTACATATATATATACATAGATGCGTTTGTGCATATGTACATATCATCAAACACGTGCATCCAAAACCTAAAATAGGTCCAGAAACTCTGATCCAAGAAAAGTGGATTCGGCAAAACCATACAAATCACAGACACCGCCCCTGGATCCTAAGGACCTCTGAGACTCTGGCACCCCCAATCGCTCTCGACGAGGCGCAGCTGATGGAAGCTGTTCCGAGGCTGGAGAACTACCGAGGACCGACGGACATGCCTGAGAATGTGGAACCTGGAAGTTCGAAGCTCGAAGTTCGACGCTGCCCCTGGACCTGGACCCTCTCCACGACATCGCCGGCGGGGTCCATGCCGCTGGCCACTACCGCGCCGGCGTCCAGGCCGCTGGCGTGGCGGCCACAGGCCGGGTCGAAGCCTGGGTGCAGCTTGCGGATCACGGGGTCGAAGAGCGGGGCAAACATGTCGTAGCACTCCTCACGAGCGGCGAACACATCCGTATCGGCGCCCTCGCGGGCGCGATCCCGCGGGTAAAGCGGTCGCATGGATACGTTCCGCGCGGTGGCATGCGCGAGAAAACCTGGGGGCCCAGCCCGCGAGGCCGCGGATACAAATGTTGTTCGCCCACGAACTCCGCGTCGCCCGCCACCAGGCCCACGGTCGAGATCATGCGGTGGCCCTGGTTGTCCATGCCGGTTTTGATGCACCTGGAAATGCGGGCGTTGCAATCTTGCCCGAACACGGGCTTGTTCGCCCAAGTTCAGGCTCTGGTACCACCGCAGACCAATCCGGTTCGAAAGCTGTCGCAGTGCTCTGGTCGTTTGTCTCCGCGATGCTTCAACTTTTTCGCAACGTCGGATCTCGTGGCACCTCGCCAAGCAGACGTCCATGGCGGTCCGGAGGCCCTGCAGGCGTGGGTAGATGGACGGGTCGCCCTTCAGCACGGTGGCCATGACGCTGTGGTGGCGGTCGAGGTTCGGAAGCTCCTCTGGGCACGAATCCGCGGGGAAGCCGGGGAAGTCCAGCTCCCCGAGCCCTGGTTCCTCATTCTCCTCCTCGTAGTAGTCGTCGTCCCCACCTGGAGGCTGCGCTCAGATGGGGTCCGACGAGAAGAGATGGTGTCGAAGGATCGCGCCGCATCGGCGATGCATCGGCGATGCATCGGCGATGCATCGGCGACGTCGGGATGGAGAACATCGGGCTCTAAATCAGGCCGCATCGCCGATGCATCGACGATGCGGCGCGACCCTCCGACCCCATCCATTCGGATCCCACCCCAGACCCTTGACGTCATGTTTTCGTTTTATTTAAAACAACGCGGACCCCTGGAGGTCTCAACCCATTCCCCAGGGCGAATTTTTCGTCCTCAGTAGATTTTGTTGACGGACCTGGGGCCCAGCAAGGGTCCGCATGAGGCAGAACATAGCCACCAGAAACGCCCGTCGCATGTTCACCACGCGAGGGGGTCTGGTTCTTTGGCCAGCCTGGATGGACAGGAGAGCCCAGAATCGAATCTATAAGTCGGATTGGCGATCGAAACGAATCGAGAGCGTTTCTTTATGTTCGGCGATGACGGGGCGTAACGCCCCTCCCCCCCCGCCGTGTGGCTCCGGCACCACAGCCGCGCCCGCGCGCACGAAGCGACGAGCGACAAGCGACGATGACGACGACGACGACGTGAGCAGCATGTAGGTGGCGATCTGCCCCCCTGCGCCTGTCTACACCAGAACGTTCGCGTGCACCACAGCGCGCGTGAACACCACAGCGCCTGCGCACATCGCAACAACCGTGTGCAACGCAGCGCCTGTGTAAACTGCAGTGCTTGCGTACACTACAGCGCCGGTGTACATGTGCACACTGGAGGCAACCATGTGCAACACAGCGCCTGTGTACACCACAATGCTTGCGTGCACCGCGGCGCCTGTGAACGCCACAGCGCCTGTCTACACCACAGCATCCGCGTGCAACGCAGCACTATTGTACACCACAGTGCCTGCGTGCATAGGACAAGTAGAAGGAGCCTGTACGTGAGGATCTGCTGCGGAAGCGCCACGCCAGGAAAGTGCTGATAATCGAATGCGACGTTTTTCCCTTTCCCCTTGTCCTCCACTTCCACCTCCTCCTCCTCCTCCTCCTTTTTCTCTTCCTCCGCCTCCTCCTCCTCTTCCTCCTCCTCCTCCTCCTCCTCCTTACCCCCTGTCGTGCGGGTTGGCGCTACAGCCCACGTGCGCAACTCAGCGGGCACCGCAGAATGGTCTACTGAATCGGCTCACTTGGTTCTCGGACGGCCAATCTAGCTGGAGTCTCGTGGACGCAGATGGGAGGAGTTACGGTGATGCGGGCGAACTCGGAAGGACTCGTAGATTCCCTTGGCGCTCCCTTGTCCATAAGGATTACGTTCTGGCGTTATCGGTGGAATCCACAAACGCTCCATTTTGTCATACTGATTCCTTCTAACATTCTACATACAACAGTGGTGCTGTGTTGCACACGGTTGCTGTGGTGCACACAAGCGCCGTGGTGTACACAGGCACTGCAATGTACGCAGGCATTGTGGTGTACACTGCTGCGTTGCACACGGCTGATGTGAAGTACGCAGGCGCTGTGATGTACACAAGAGCTGTTGTGCCCGCGCGCGCGGTGGCACAAACTGACGCTGTGTTGCACGCGGCTGCTGTGGTGTACATAGGCGGTGTGGTGTACACAGGCGCCGTGGTGCACGCAGGCACAGAGACCCTGGCAAGCAAACAGTAAACCCCCCGGCGATATCGCTAGCACAGAAAATAAAATAAATAATTATTTTGGGCGGCGCCCTCCGGCGATATCGTTAGCACATAAAAAATATAATAAATAATTAATTAATTTGCCCCCCCCGGGCCCGAAGCTGGCGGCAACGCGAGGCGACAGCCTGAAGAACCAACGCGCACGAACGCTTGCCAATGGGTTCCCGCCTTGCTAGAACACTGGGAAACTGACGCGCATCGGAAATCAAAGGTAAATCAAAAAAGACAAACAATGAAATTACCGCAAGCAACTATACTTGAAAGGACCACCCAAAGGAATCCCAGAGAAATCTCAGAAGGAAGCCCACGCAGAATCTCAAAGGACCCCTATTGGAAATTCAAAATAATCTCAAAAAGGAACCCCACAGAAATCGCAAAGGGATCTCAGCGGCAGCTCAAACGAACCACGAAGGAATCTAAGGAATCTGGAAAACGCGGGCTCGCGTGGACATAAGCAAACCCTATTGCGGCCGCAAAAAGGATTTTTTTTTCACGGGGTCCTATGGGAGAGTCCACGGAGGGATATCGCAGACGGATTCCGCGACCCCCCCCGCGATATGTTAGCACATTTATTGAAAAAAAAAAAAAAAAAAATCCACAGGCGCCGGAGGTCGATGGGATGCCCCCTTCAGGGATTGTCGAAGGAATGTCAGAGGAACTCGAAAGAACCCCCAAAGGAATCCCATAAGAATATCACAAGAAATCCCACGCACGATATCGAAGGAACCAATGGAAGTTCAAAGCGATCTCAAAGGAGCCCAAAAGAAATCGCAAAGGCATCTCAGCGGCAGCTCAAACGAACCACAAAGGAATCTGCGGAATTTGGAAAACGCGGGCTCGCGCGGACATAAGCAATCCCTATTGCGACCGCACTAGGGAAATTGATTCCTTCCGGGGGTTCTTATGGTGGAGTCCACGGAGGGATATCGCAGACGGATTCCGCGAACCCCCCCGCGATATGTTAGCACATGCACTAAAAATAAAATAACCCACCGCCCCGGATGTCGATGTGATGCTCTCTTAAGCAATGGGGTATCAAACGGATATGACCGGAGCCTCAAGGGACCCCCAGAATAACATCAAAGAAACACAAAAGGAGTCTCAAAGGAGCCCCAAAATAATCACAATGGAAAAGGCAAGGAATCTCAAAAGAAGCCAATCGGAGTATCAGAGGAATCTCTGACGAATCTCACAGAAACGCACAGAATCACAGGAAGCGACTCTGGGCAGGTGTGCCTTGTCGCTGGGCTCTGGACTACAAGGGGACCGGGCATTCAGAGGCTTGTGGAGGCCTTTCTGGATGCCTCCTGGGAACCTCTGGGGACCTCCCCTCCGCGGACCTCTGGTGACCTGCGGGGGATATCGCTTCCGCCCCGGCCCCGGTGCCGGAAGCGTTATAATTTCCTCTGATGAGGGGGGGGGGGGGGGGGAGGGGGGTTTACTGATTGCTTCCCAGGCGTTGTGGTGCAGATCGCCACCTACATGCTGGTGCCACCCGTCCTCCGTCATTCCTAAGCATTCCCAAGAGCCGCCGGCGCGAAGCGTGACGTCATCAACTCCTCCACCCCCCCCAGATGATTGCCGTCGCCCGGAATAAAAAAACATGCTCCAGCCGCGTCCGCGCGCACGACGACGACGAGCGACGAGCGACGAGCGACGAGCGACGAGCCACGACGACGACGACGTCGACGACGAAGACTGCGGACCAGACTCCATTATGCGGATTCCTACGCGGACACCTACGCGGATCCCACTACGCACGGCGGCAGTGCCCAGCGCGCACTGGGTGGGGGGGAGCGTTACGTCATAGGGGGGGGGGCGGGGGCCATGACGCCCGTCATGCCCCAAACAATAAAGAAATGGTCTCATCGGATCGGCGGAAATCGGCAACAGAGTCGGGAGAAGTCGACTCGGCGGAAACGTGCCAGCTGGTAAGTCTCCGTGGGGAAACCGGAACCCACAGTGGAACTCGAGGCCGAATCGAATCGGAATCGGAAGCCGTTGAAAGCGAATCGAACCGAGCCGGAGGGGTCGAGATGAGCCCTGGTGGACCTCCCCGGCTCGCGGCCCCGTCCTCGGAGGCGGTGGGCGGAGCCAGCCCCGCGGGGAGGCCCTCCAGCGCCTCGCCGCGCGCCAGCCGCGACTCCGCCGACAGCAGGGCGCGGCAGCCCGAGATCACCGCGCTGACCTGCGCCACCTCGCTGGACCCGAGGCGGTCACTGTTGGACACCTTTGAGGGTCCAGGTTTGTAGGGCGAGGCCACTGGGTGAAGAACCCTTCGGTACGGAATCCAGGGTCCGAAAGCCCGTGAAACCCTGGATCTTACAGCCGCCCTCATCAGAGAAAGGATCCCCCAGGGTCCGAAGCCTCCTGGGCACATTACTTACCCAACGCCCCCACCGTATTGGGGCACTGGCTCAGTGGTGGGGAAACGTCGACCTGGAATCGGCGATGCATCAACGATTTATCGGCGATAGGGCCCCGCTGGCGACCTCGCCCGTTCCCGGACGGGAGGGCGGCCATCGGGCCTTCATTGGCGATGCATGGGCCATTGGGGGTCGATGCGTTTCCCCCTGACCCTGTCCCTCCCCCTGACCACTGCCCCGGCACCTCCCAGACCCCCTCCGCCATCGTGAGGCCACTGCCGATGCCGAGGTGGGCCTGGAGCCGGAGGCGCCGGCAGATGGCCCGGAACTGGGGCTCCGTGCTGAGCAGCGGGATGCGGATGATGGCGCTGGCCGCGAGGCAGGTGCCCAGGTTGGAGGGGCACGACCCGAGGAAGCCCAGGCTGCTGCTCCTCGAAGACAAGAAGCGGCACACATGCACTTTCAGAGCGCGCTCGTCTTAGTCGTCGTCATGGTCCTCATCCTCCTCCTCTTCCTCGTCGTCGTCATCGTTACCGTTCAGGGTCGGCGGCGCCGGCCGTAAGGCCTTCGCGAAAAGAAGCGGCACACATACATTTTCGAAGGGCCGCGCGGACTTCTCGGATCCGCGCTGACCTCCAGAAGTTTCGAGTCTGTCTTGCTATTTTTCACGGTAACGGGCGTGATCGGAAGGGAGGGGGGAGGAGTGCGCCCCCCGATCGCATCACCGCGGCGAGCCGCCGTGAGCACCGAAGCGCCCCGTGTGCGCATCGCCACCAAAGCCTGCAAGCACAACAGCGCGCCAGAGAGCACCACATTGACCACACAACGGCGCACGCACGAGAGCAGGGCAACGTGCTTGCGAGGGGAGCGGGGGCCGACTAATCAGCCGGAGACTCGTCGCCGCTGGCCCCCAGGGGCCTCTAGAGACCTCCGGAAGCTTCCGGGGGCCCGTCGACGACGAAATGCGCAAAAAATCTGCACACTCCCCCCCCCTCCTCCTCCTCCTCCTCCTCCTCCTCCTCCTCCTCCTCCTCCTCCTCCACTCCTTCCCTCACACATAATTTCTCCCTGTCCACCCCGAGGCCAGTTTCTAGGGCGGGCCTGGCGTCTCGCCTGAGACTTTTCTATCACTTATGATCCTGAAGCTTTAACATTGGCAACAGTTTCACAGATGGAGGGCGGGTGGTTTTCAAAATGTGGATCTCGCCTTAGCGCCGTGCACATTAGTTTCAAGCATTTCCAAGAGCTTCACGGATTGAGGATGGCTCCTTTTTCAAAATGTGGCTCTCGCCTTGGCGCCGCGCACATTCGCATTTAGATCGGAGGTTGAGGGGTGAGATCGAAGTGGAACGGAGAGCCCCCCTACCGGGAAATCGTTTTCGGTTTCGTGTTCGTGCGTGCCTGCGTGGGCGGGCGAGAGAAAGTCTCCTGTGGCTGAGGCGCGGCCGGACCAAATGTCTCCCTTCCGGGCGGCCGGGGGCCCGCGGTGTCCCGCCGGTGTCCCGCTGGTGTCCCGTGTGGCTGAGGCGCGGCCGGACCAAATGACTCCCTTCCGGGCGGCCGGGGGCCCGCGGTGTCCCGCCGGTGTCCCGTCGGTGCCCCGTCGGTGTCCCGATAATGATGATGTTGATGATGATCATGATGGTTGTGTTGATGGTGATGATGGCGACGATGATGGTGTCCTGGTAATGATGATGATGATGCTGATGATGATGATGATGATGATGTTGATGATGATGATGAGATGACGATGATGTTGATGTTCTGCCCGTTGTTGTTGATGATGATGTTGGTAATGCTGATGCGGCTGATGATGATTATGGTATCCCGATGATGATGATTATGAGGGTGGTGATGATGATGATGATGGTGATGGTGTACCGATGATGATATTGATGATGATGATGTTGGTGATGATGATGCTGCTGATGATGATGGTGTCCCGATGATGTTGATGATGCTGTTGATGATGATGATAATGAGCTGATGATGATGATGGTGTCCCGATGTTGTTGATGATGTTGACGATGACAACGATGGTGACCATGATGGTGTCCCAATGATGATGATGATGATGATGATGATGCTGATGGTGATGATGACGATGGCTGTGTCCCGCTGGTGATGTTGATGATGTTGTTGATGATGATGAGATGACGATGATGTTGATGTTTCTGCCGGTTGTTCTTGATGATGATGTTGGTAATGCTGATGCTGCTGATGATGATTATGTTATCCCGATGATGATGATTATGACGGTGGTGATGATGATGGTGATGGTGATGGTGTGCCGATGATGATATTGATGATGATGTTGGTGACGATGATGCTGCTGATGATGATGGTGGCCGGATGATGTTGATGATGCTGTCGATTATGATGATGATGATTAAATGATGATGATGATGGTGTCCCGATGTTGTTGATGATGTTGACGATGACACTGATGGTGACCATGATGGTGTCCCGATGATGATGATGATGCTGATGGTGATGATGACGAAGGCTGTGTGCCGATGATGATGATGATGATGTTGCTGACTCTGATGCGATGATGATGATGGGGATGATGATGATGGCCTGATGATGATGGCATTGATGATGATGACGACGATGATGATGATGACGACAATGTCCCGATGACGATGAAAATGATGGTGCTGGTGATGATGATGATGATGACGTTGAATGTTAGATCGATTGTGATATCGGTAACCGCATGCCGATGATAATAAAGGGACCCCCCCTTCAGTGTTTAGAATTGATTATCGTCGCCCTATACAAAATTCAAATTGGGCGGCGAGCGCTGAGGCCGAACTTCATTATCACCTCGAAACGCTATGTTGAGATAGCAACATCAAGCGATGTTGATATAGCAACATCAAGCGAAGCGATCACACTTTTTCAGGATGTGTCAAGCGAAACCAATAATTTTGGGAGGCAGACTCAAACGAAACGAGCAATGTTCTTATTATTATTCTACTTTCCTCTTCTTCTTTTATATTTATGTCTGTCCTCACGCTCGCCTGAACTTTTTATCCCTGGGGTTGATTACCCATGGAAAATGAAGCACATGAGCTACCCTACACGAGCACTTAAAAACATCAATTTTCATAAAGCGCTTGTAAATTAAAAATGATAGATTTGGAACTTTGGATTTGTCCTTTCTTCGTCCTCTTCTCATTCTCCTCTTCTTCTTCTTTCTTATTATTCTTCTACTGTATTCTTCTTATTTTATATTTCTCTCTGTCCCCACGCTCGCCTGAACTTTTTTTATCTCTGGGGTTGATTATCCATGGAAATTGAGGCACATGAGCTACCCTACACGAGCACTTACAAAAAACAATGTTCATGAGAGATAAGCCATTGTTGAGGATATTTCTATGAAAACTAAACGCCAAGGATGTCTCAAAACGTGCTCGGCTTGGTCTCCTCTTGATCATCTCTTACTTCGAGATTATGCTGAGGTCTGCTGGGCTACTTTTATTATCTCTCCCTGAACCCCGAACTTTATCATCCCCTAGTGTTTATTCTCACGGGCATGAGGTTAGTGAGATCGATAGTGAGACCGAATGTGAGATCGATTGTGAGATCGATAATCAGATCAATTGTGAGACCGAGCGAATGAGATATATCGAGTGAGATCGATTGTGAGATCGATCGAGTGAGATCGATCGAGCGAGACCGATAGTGAGATGGATAGTGAGACCGATCGAATGAGACGCTGCATCCTCCCCCCCCCCGAACCTCCTTATCACCCGAAGGGTGGTCGTATAGGTATTTACAAGAGTTTCACATATTCCCATGATCAGCGCACCAGAAATTCCATTTTGGAAGGATTCTGGATTTTGAGGGTGCAACAGTTACGTTGATTCGCGGTGTTGAAGTCTCAGGAATGGCCAACAATGTGTTGGCATGCTTCAAGGTCTTCAAACGGTTGTCTTCCAACGATATGAAGAGGGAGCTTGGAGGGAGGGTGTATTCCAAAATCGTTCCTCCTTCCTCCTCCTCCTCCTCCTCCTCCTCCTTTCTCCCCCCTTCTCTTTCTCGTTGCTCCCTCGCCTCCTAGTCTCTCTCTCCCCCCGCTCCTCCCCCCATAATGATCGGGGCCCTTCCTCCAAAGGTTCCAGGCTCCAGAAGGCCGAGAAGGGCAAGTTGCGAGCGCGGTCGCGTGCGTAGGCACGCGAGCGTGAACGTGGGCGTGGGCGTGGACGTGCGCGCGGGCGCGATCGTGAATGAGTGGGCGAAGAACGGTATAAAATAAACTGTCCAGCCGCCCTGGGGCAGGCGTCCCGACGGCGGAAAAGTTTATGTTACACCGTTCTTTGTCCCCTAAGTGAGCGCGGGCGCGACCGTTGGCGTGAAAACTCCACACGCGGAAAGGGGCGGCAGTCTGGGCGCCGGCGCAGGCTTGAGCCAAAACGGCAAGACAAAGAGGTCCACGCCCCGAATGACGCCAGAACCGCCCCCCGGCGGCCCCCTTCCGAGGAGCTTGGTCAGAGGTTCGAGGATCGAAATCCCACCAGCCCTCTGGGCGTAGGTGGCTTAGCGAGCTTCGTATCCTCTCTGCCAAACCCCTCCTCCCCTTGCTCGGGGGAGGGGCGTATCACTGTTCCATATTAATAAACACCCCTTCCCCCACCTGGCCAGCAGCCAACCCAGAACCATGCGCACACCATGAGGGCCCCCCCACCATCCCTGTCAAAAACAATACACAACACACTCTGCCTCCAAATTCGGAGCATGCGCAACCAACCCGATGCGAGCCCTTTCCCACCACCCCTGTCAAACAAACAATACACAGTGCAGATTTGGGCAAAGTCTGCCGTCATGTTCGTGAAACCCGCGGGCAATTTGCATTATTTTTCGACAGGGACGGCGGGGATGTCAGCATGTTGCCTGCTGCGCGCAAGGCTACCATCCCTGACAAACACACAATACAAAATGCACCTCGCGGCTACATGTGGACAGTGCGCGGCCACCCCGCGATCATTGCCAAGTGGTTTTTGTAAGAGAAGGCGGGGGTGGTGGTGTATGGCCTAGCTGTGCGCAGGCCCACCAGACACAATGAAGGGCATTGGTTTTCGACAAGGATGGTGGGGGCCGACATGTTTCCCGATGTGTGCTGTCATATGCGCAGGCGCACCTGGCACACTTTGCACGTGCCCCGGACATGGCGCACCTGGCGCGGCTGGAGGGAGCATCTGGCGCACTAGGCGTGCCTGGCACGCTCGGGCCCCAGAGGTGCCTGGCGCGCGTGGCGCGCCCGGCACGCGTGGCGCACCTCGTCCAAGCGTCGTGCATATGGGCACGGTTTTGGTTCCCAGTAGCTGTCCACCAACGACCGCGGAACATGCCATGTGTTGGGCGGGCGGGTGGGAGTGAGCTAGACGGCTTGCTATCTGGAGGGTGTCTTGATCACTGTTCCCTATTAGTGTACACCCCCTCCGCCAGGCGACTGGGAGCCAACCAGGGTCAATGCGGGCCCCCCCAACCATCCCTTTACAAAAACGATACAGCACACACCCTGCCTCCGAATTCGGAGCATGCGCAGCGAACCCGATGCGGCCTCCCCCCGCCATCCCTGTCAACAAACAGTGCAGGGTACACTTGGCGGCGGCGGCGGCGGCGGCTGCGGCGGCCACGGCAGGGGCAGCGGCTGCGGCGGCTGCGGCGGTGGCGGCGGCGGTGCCAGCGGCGGCGGCGGGGGCGGCGGCGGAGGCGGCGGCGGCGGCGGCGGCGGCGGCGGCGGCGGCGGTGGCGGCGGCGGCAGCGCTGCGGCGGCAGCGGCTGCGGCGGCGGCGATTGCGGGCGGCGGCGGCGGGCGGCGGGGCGGCGGCGGGCGGCGCGGCGGCGGCGGACGGCGGCGGCGCGGCGCGGCGGCGGCGGACAGTGGCGGCGGGCGGCGGCGGGCGCGGCGGCGGCGGCGGCGGCGGGCGGGGGCGGCGGCGGCGGAGGCGGCGGCGGCGGCGGCGGCGGCGGCGGGCGGCGGCGGCGCGGCGCTGCGGCGGCAGCGGCTGCGGCGGCGGCGATTCGGCGCGGCGGCGGCGGCGGCGGCGGCGGGCGGCGGCGGCGGCGGGCGGCGCGGCGGCGGACGGCGGCGGCGGGGCGCGGCGGCGGCGGACAGTGGCGGCAGCGGCGGCGGCGCGGCGGCGGCGGCGGCGGGCGGCGGCGGCGGCGGAGGCGGCGGCGTCGGCGGCGGATTCGCCCCCAGTAGCTGCCCATCCAAAAACGACTGCTGAATATGCTGCGGTTCGGGCCAGGCTCGGTTGCTACGTATGTGCTGGGAGGGCGGGTGGGAGCGAGCGAGACGGCTTGCGGGCGGGGAGGGAGTCTTGACCCCTCCCCCTACCCCCCCTGGGCCCGGGAGTTGGAGCGCCCAAGATGGACCAAGATGGTTCCAAGAGGGTCTCAGAGAACTCAGGATAGCCCCCAAGATGGTTCAACATGCCTCACGACGGTTCAAGATAACCCAGACAAACATCCAATAGGCCTCAAGACAGCCCCGAGACGGCTTCAAGTGCATTTTTTTAACGGGCCACCCTAAGAGGCCAAAGTGCCTCGAACATCAGAGGAAGGGTTGCGAAGGGTTCCTGCGGCCTTGCGATGGCCACAAGACGGCCCAATAGAGCTCCAAGAGGGGCCCAACGAGGGCCCCAAAAAGGCCCCAAGAGCGCCCAAGAGCGCCCCAAGAGCGCCCCGAAAAGGCCCCAAGACGCTATTTTTGAGCCTCCGAGGGGGGGCGGGGCTGAATTTATGACCCCCCCTCTCTTGAACAGCGTGCCCAACATTACCTGAAGAGGCCTCCCAAACCCCCCCAAAGAGTCTCAAATGGGCCCCTAGATCCCCAAAAGAGCCCCAAGACCAAGAGTGCCCCAAGTGGCTTGGAGAGGACTTCAAGAGAGACTCAAAATGGCTCCAAGAGACCTCCGAGAAAACACTGCCAAGGCAGCTGCTACATTGTATGCTTCTGCACGCCCCTGATCAATGCAATTCGCCTAGCGATCTGTTTTTAGATGGGCGGGTGAGGATACTTTTTGATCGCGACCGCGGCGAAAGAGGTAAGGCGGCGTCCAGGAGCGATGCAAACGGGCAACGGCCTAAATTCGCGCACAGGGAGAAGGAGGGGCGAAAAGAGACGCAAGACCAAGCAAGGGGAAAGGCTAACAGGAGGCGAGCCTCGCTGCCGCTCACAAGCTGGTGAGGATACGTTTTTCGTCGCAGCCGCAAACGAAGGCGCAGGCGGCGTCAGAGGTCAACCTGGGCTACGGGCGAAGCCTAATTGCCCAGCGAACGCACTCACGATTGCCGAAGCTGCCGCCGATGGAGGCCGAGGGGCGCTGGGGGCTGAAGGCAGGCTGCGAAAGCTGCCAGGAAAGTCAGGCGGCCAGCGTGCGGGCATCCCAGGAGGCAAGACCACCGGAAAGGGTCAATTGAACCTTGTTGCACCAGGACTGGTGAGGACACTTTTTTGTTAGCAGCCGAAGGCGAGCGCGCCAACGGCGAGTAAGGTTCGAGCGGGCCGCGCGGGGGCCGAGTACCTAGCGCGGAGCAGAGCAGGACAACGTCAAGAATTGTTGCATTTGTTCTCGAGGACGCGACGACGAGGAATTTCCAGGACTTGTTTTGCAACAGCGACGACGAGGAATTTCCAGGACGCGGGCGACAGCGAGGACGAGGAATTTCCATGACTTGCTTTGTAACAGCAACCTCCTTCAGACCCTGTTTCCAGAGGGCCAATGTCAGGGCTGAGACAAGTTTGCCTACATGGTCAATTTGAGCCCTCCGAACTGGCACTGTCCTGCCGAACATCCGACCCACCCTCTTCCCTACGAAGACGGCGGCGGAAGAGTTACAACTGATCCATGGCCGACGCCGAGGAGTCAGGAGCACTTGAAGCAGGAGCCTCCACCGACCCACAGATATCTTCAGCAGTATCTGCAGGGAGGGGCGAGGTGCCATCATAAGGAGTCAGCCACGGCGAGGGGAACAACTGCACATTATACTCTCGCTTCTTCCGCAAAACGTGACGTTTTCTGGGGAGAGAGAGAGAGAGAGAAGGCCGATCACGGCCGTGATTGCCAAAGGCTTACACAACATGCTTGTTGACGAACGAACAACTCAGACAAACACACTCACACACATACAAATACACACCCCTACCCATAGGGGAGTCCGAGGGAGGGGGCCTGGCTACAGTTGTGGGTGCGGGCTGTCGGACCCCCGAGGAGGCTCCCACTCGAGCGGGGACCCCCACATCGGGCAACACGCACCCCTTTCCTCCTCCGTGCCCCCTATGTGTATGGGTGTGTGTTGCTCGTCATTCAAATGGATGTTTATGCAATTGCTTCTTCTTCTTCTTCTTCTGTTTCTTCTCCCCCGATCCTCGCGAAGGAGTGGCCGGTCTCCCTCAGTGCCGCCTCCGTGCCCGCGAGCACCTGGCAGAGCCTCCCGAACACGGCCTTCAGGTCGGAGCCCCCCTGCCATAAGGGGGCTCACAAGGGGACACAAACAGATCGGCACAGAGGTGTTCTAGGATTTCCGATATTTGTTCGATCTCCCGGATCTTCTGCTTCCCCTCCACTTCCGATCGCTTCCCACAATTTCATGGAACTCAGCGTTCGTTTGCGTCTGTGCCGGTGCTTCCTCCCTGACCTGCCCCGCACCTCTCCTGTGGGGTGCGCTCTGACCGGGAGCTCGCGGCGACTCCCGCGGCGGCGACGACGAGGGCCTCCCAGGAGGTCCCAAAAAAAGACGACGCCGAGGCATGCGTAGATGTATCAGTACCTTCTCCTCTCCTCTGCTGTGCTTGTGCCGATGCTTCACTCCTGACCTGCATGGACTGCATGCGCAGGTGGTCGGACTCGTTCACCCAGACCTCGAGCAGGGGATCGGCTACAAAATTGATGCACCCCAAAATTGTTTTTCCGTCGAGTCTAAGAAAAATCCGCCGACCCTGTCGGCGTGTGCGAGGGGTTTGTCTGTTCGAGTCGTCGTCTTCGTCAGTCGTCGTCTGCGTAATCCCCTTTCCTTGCACCCTCCTCAAGCCTGTCCGGGGGGGGGGGGGGCAGATGCACCCGAGACGGTCCAAGAGGGCCCCAATCGCCAAACGATCGGTCCAAAGCGCCTTCACGCTCCCAGACTGCCCAAGAGACCCCCAAGACGCCCCAAGAGGCCTCCAAAGGTACTCCCGAAAGGGCCACAAGAGGCACACATTAATGACTTCCCATAGGGTTTTGACAGATTTGGGCGTTC